AAGGTCAAGTCCTTACACTTGTTATAACCAGATTTTAGAAGTCCCATAGGTGCGTGTACAGCAGAAAGCATGATGTGATTCATAGTATTTCTTCCTTCTGTAATCTCCTAGGAAGTACACATCCCTGGAGTTCAAAAGCAATAGCTAAGGCTGTGACACCTTCTGATTTTGTGAAAAGCATGATGATGTTCAAAAGTCATAAAAGAAGTATATTCTGAAATAAAACACAATAGTCCACACCAGTCCAGATACCAGGTGTCAACAAATTTCCTCTAAAACAGAAGGAATAATTCTGAAAGGAAAATATATTTTAGTCTGCTACTTATGCATCTTTCTACGACTTTAGCAGCCCCTGAATTAGCCTAGATGCCTATAGAGGATTAATATGTTCTGTAGCTGAACAGCAGGAAAAGCAAAATGATACTGCTATCAGAGTACTCTTTTTCCCCACATAGAGGAGAAAATCCATTATTAAATGGTATTTCTCACTCTGATTCCTAGGCTGTTTTCCATCCTCTTGTAACAATTCTCATAATAGATCTCAAGTGTTTGCTGTGAATGGCCTTACCTACTTGCTTGTTTTTCTTACAGTGCCCATTAAACTACATCATTAAAACTAAACCATTAAGAGGTTCTTTCCCAAAGAAGCTGCATATAAAATGGGACATTTAGGGAGTGTTCTTCAGCATCAAGACTATAGTGGGTTTTACTGGCATAAAATAAGATCAGTTCTATGTACTTAGCATATTTGCATATCAGCATACCCATCTGATATAACACAGATGCTCGAAGACTGTGGAGGGCATCCAATTAAAGTGGGGACTGAAAAAAAACACTGTATAACTTGTATTTTGCGCTAGCATCACATTTAGTTGGTGTGATGTTGAAGCATTTATGGTTGAACTCGATGATCTTAAAGGTCCTTTCCAACCATACTGATTCTACATTTCTATGGATCCTTAAATCAACATAGTCATATATAAATTTTCTACTAAGGCACTCTATTCATGGCCATTCATTTCTATTGTTGTTGTCTCACAGTCAAAGAAATTTTAAGGAAGTTTTATAGAAATTGAATATGACTCAGAAAACAATACTTGAAAAATAGCTAATACTATTAGCAATCAGCAAATACTAACAGCGATATGCACACTTTTAAGTCTTATAAGTACAACGTTTTTAAAAGAAGTATGTTTTGGAAAAAAAAATGTGTTTTTTAAAAGCCTACTGAAATCATGAGTTAAAATGAAAATCAAATACATTGTTCCATTTTAAACTCTTGGTGACTTTACAGAACTTTTCTACCAAGAATCACGAATATTACTTTAAGGCAATAACGCAGATGAACTCAACCAGAACATGAACAAACTTTCTAGCCTAAAGTTTGATGCTATTATAAGGCAAAAGAAGAATTCCCCAAATCCAGTAGAGGGTTGGTCTGGGTTTGTACACAGATGCTTACTATTATGACTAATTGTAAGTGACTTTGTTCTTGCTGAACATGCAAGCCCATGTGAGACTGTGAGATGGAAACAGAAAAAAAAAAAAAAAGTTTAGGTAGCATGTGCTTAGTATTGGCTGAATTGCTTGGCCTTTGCAAAACTACAGATATATTACTTAATCAATACAGCCTCTATTCTGTAGCATCTAAGAACTTCATAATCCTCATTTACATTTGTAGCTTTCACTGCTGTAGAAGATGCAGTTTTTCCTTATTTTACAAGTGAAAGATAAAGACACAATAGTTTAAAAATCAGACATTAAAGATATTTAGTCCACTAACTGGTATAAGAGGTCCCTCCTGAAAAGTCAGTGTTTTCATTAGGAATCTAGAAACATTCTCTCCTCTGTACTTTTTCATCTTTTCTTTCCTTCTGAAAAGCAACAAAATATGTTGGCTATTTGCAACATTTTTTTCTCATAAATGAATATGGAAAAATAATCATCCGTGTTATTTAAACTAGAGCAGCATATGCTTTTTGCCATAAAGCAATGTGAACAGTACACTGCGTTTTATGTCCTAGCCTTTAATGAGCATTGGTAGTTAAAACTGTAAATAAACTATGGACTTATCAGCAGAGGAGACACTAACCAATCAATCATTGTTTTTCGGCTCCCATAAGTGTTCCAAGGAAATTGATTTTATGAGATATTTATCACTTGCCAGTCAACATGGACCCCACAGGATTCGAATTAATTGTTGTACTATTTGCCATGACCAGATAATGCAGTTCAACTTAAGTAATAAAAGAAATTTAACATTCAGCATGGTTTTTGTCCAGGATTAGTTCATGTTTGAGTTGAAAATCTTGCAGACTGGCAGTAGACAGGACAGGCTTTAAATAAATGGGCAATAATATTAAAAAAAAAAAAAAAAGTGTTGCAGGCCATATTCATCCCTAAAAGTCCTACCTTTAAAAAACTGAAAGTTAGAGAGTTACCTGACTTATTTTACATGCACAGAGAAAGTGTAGTGTTGGATGTGGCCCGGCTGAGTTTTAGGAGCAACTTTTAGGTGGTCAGCTTGCCACACTGGACTGAACAGCAACATCTCCTTTTAGTTCTGCTCAGAGACACCATCTTACAGTAAGTGTTACAGAAGACAGAACATCCTCTTAGACGAGACAGAACTTTAAAAGTTAAAACAGGGAGACACCTTCCAATCACAGCTTAACAAAATTCCAGACAATTCTACATCCATCTAAAATGAACAGTCACCGACTCTCCAGGAATTACAGAGACAAATCTGCACAGTTTAGATTTCTGTCCATCTACCCTTGAAGGAACTCCTAGGAGTATCTTCATATTCTACTGATAGTGGTGAAAACCAAAAAAGACCAAAAAAGACAACAGGTACCAAAGGTACCAAAAAAGGTACCAAAGGTACCAAAAAAGACAACATATCATCTTGCCTCCTCTTGGCACATGCCCTCCTTCTTCCTATCTTTCTTGCTATTTAGCATAAACTCTATTTCCAACAGGAAGCTACTCCAGTGCAATGGCTACCTGAACAGGTTTTTCTACTGTCTTTCTACTTCAATCTTGACAATACTGTGGAAGCAGAAAAGAAACTGTAAGGATTGAAAGAGGAAAGCACAGTACTTGCCTCAAGTACTTAAAATCTGCAACTGAAATACCTTTTTGTTCCTACCCACACCCCTGGTTTCACATTCTGAAAGCTATCTGCAGTTGTTGTAAACTTGTCCTTTCAAATGCGTACCAAAACAAAACAACCGCAAAAATCCATACATTTTCTTCACTGGTTTGCAGATCAGCCAATTTCTACACCTAGGTTAGAGTGTAAATCTTCATAATGAAAAAAGCATAGAGTCTCTTCCACTTCCACCTTTTCCAGTTTGCTCCGATTGAAGAATCACAGAGTGGGTGAGGTTAAAAGAGATTTCTGGAGAGCCATTGCTCTGACCCAAGTCAGGGTCTTGTCCAAGGTTCTAAGCACAAGGGTGAAGAATATCTACAAGGATACTTCTCTGGACGACCTGCTCCAATGTTGGACAGCCTTCACAGTAAAAAAACATAACAAAACAACAACACCCTGCAGATACAGTCTCACAAATGCTGAAGAGAAATGCCTCTTCCCTACCACCCTTCACAGTTGAAGTGATAAAGAGTAGGTCAGCTCCTATAAATCAGTGAAGGACCACAGACGTCAAGGGAGCTACATCAATTTACCCTTGCTGAAGACCTGGCTGCAAGCACCATGATTTCATATATTTGCTAGCCTTGTGGCTGGTCTGCTTACAGCTTCAGTAAACACTAGCATATTTGAAGGCGCATTTCTTTTACCACAAGTCTGAAATGACCTTCTAATGAAGTGCTGAACTGCTTTTCAAACCCAATTATGTGGTTCATTAATCTTCTTTTTTCTTCTATTTCTGTTTTTTTTTTTTTTTTTCACCAGCTCCAAGTTTTCATGTCCCTGTTTTTGGTACAGTCCCTGGCGTTGCTGCTTTGCTGTTTTTTGACAGTTACCTTTACCAGCACCTCTGGAATACCACCTCCAGCATTAACTTTATTGAGTTATTCTTGAAGCAGGAATTACTCAGTTTCAGCAGCACCATTCTGATGTCCTCAGCAGTGCCCTCAGGGCAGACTTATTTTAGTTTCCAAAGTTAATAAAGTAGTACAAGTGATCTTCCTTCTGCCTTCTAGTGGCTGTGCTAGCTGACTTGAGCAGGTCACTAATAATCTGTTTCCCTGCTCTGCTCACTGCAGCCAATATGTCTACTTAGCTGTATTCCTTCCTCATGCTCACAAACAGATGGGGTTTTGGTATCTTTGCTCTATAATCAGTGCTTTTATGGGAGGCTTTCCTCAATAAATCTCAACCTATGGACTGCCCCTGGACTGCTGGTGTCAACTATCCATTGCAAAAGGGGAAATCCAGCTGTTCAGGTCAGTGGCACAAGGAGCAGGCATTTCCACTGAGGATTTTATGGCCGACTGCATAATTATACAAGTACATTACAATGCTGTCTGTCATCACAAAATTATATCCTGACACCCATACACCTAATGTGTACAGGTAACAGTAGCAGCTAGGTCTTAAGATGAGCTCAGGCATCTTTTTTGCTTTAGGAAATAAAAATTTCACTGACAACAGGATTTCATTTCTTACAATTTTAAGTCCAGGTGACCTAAGTTGCACTACACTGTTTTCCACTCTAGCTGAAAAGCCCTGAATCCAAAAAAGGAGCGTGGTGTTCTCTATGGTACTGCAAAGGGTACAAAGAACATTTTTCAGTAGTTGAGTTGTACTGATTTGCTGCTCCAAACAGCCCAGGCAAAGAAAAAAGGTGATTCTCTGATTTAGAAGACAGTTTAAATTGTAAACACTGTATAAATTCTAAATAGTTTGAAAGTGTTTGAGAATTTTATTACTTTTGTTTCAATGTTTATTACACAACCCTTCTTCAAAACAGGAAGTATTAAAGCCAAATTCTAGCTCTGTCATTCACTTTAAACAATATCAGAAAGCCCACTTGCATATTCAGGCAGTAATTAACATGGGAGTAGCGGATAAATCCTGTCCTAAGTAGGCAAAAAGAGAAAAAGGATCTTTGAACAGTAATGTGATAAATTGAAAGTTTTATACAGCATAAGTTCTCAGTCGTCTATGAGCTGGCTGGTAACTCACGGAACTCTTGTGTACAATCATAAAAATTTCCAGCTGCTAAAGTTCATTGAAAGACAGTGGAAGAGATGTGAAAGCAGTGAAAAGAGTGAGAGATGAATGTTTTCAAAGGTACTCCTGGTCCTCACGGACTTTATCACAAGTGGTCAGTGCTCAAACCTTGAAAAAAAATATTCAGCTGATTTAATAGTAGTTTTCCAAGTAGCAGTTACTTCAGATGTTACAAAAAAGTAAAAGAAAGAATGGACAGGAGTAATCTACAAAACGGACCGCCTATTCAATCACCTTGCACACCAGATAACTAACATGTTGCACAGCATTTCTTTCCTTTCTCTGCTGTCACTATGGAATGATCATGGTGTATGATAGGAATACAGTTTCAACAAGTGTAGGGGAAAGGGCAAAAGGTACCAATTGGCAAAAACAAGAACCAACTGAATGCAGCTCAAGCCGGATGTGGCTTGCTGACTAGACACAAGAACAAGTTAAAGCTGACCTTTTCTGTGATTGGATATCTCAAGTTATGCAAGGCTCGGACGAGGCTGGACTGGCTATCGAGGCACGTATAAGACACATGTACCGCATTGTTTGCTTATAAATATGAGCTTGTAACCCAATAAAATTGCCATTGGCCATGAGCTTTTAGCCCCTGTTCCTTGACACTGGACTCACAAATGGTGCTCCAACAGGGGCCTGACAGAGACAAAGTGATTTCGTAAACGGTAGGCCAACACCAGCGGAACAACAGAGGGGAAGGAACCGTCATGATAAGCAGTCGCTGAATACTGACGCTCTAGGGCGTTTTTGGGTAAGAAAGATGTCTGAGCCTGGCCGCTGGGAATAATCATGGGGGATACCATGACAAAGGGACAGGAATGTGCACTACAGGTCATGCAGCATATCTTAGACAAGGCGGGTCGTGCCGGTGAAGTCCAAGAAGGGGATTTGGTCAGACTGTTGAAATGGGGACTTGAAAATTTTAACTCGTCTAACGAAAATACCACCCTTAAGATGCAAGCTTGGGATAGCTTTGAGGTCATTCTGTGGGATTTATCGACCAGGGATCTGACCGCGTCATCCTTGCTGAGGCCGTGGAGGATTGCTTACGTGTTTCCACGGGCAACACCAGGAATGCAGGGACTGGACCACGTTGGGTCCTGACAAGATGGGTCCGACCAACCTTACCATCATGTTCCTCACGTGCACTGAAGCAGCCAAAGACTTCTCATCAAGCTCACCAACAGGAGTAGCTGGGAATGTCTGGGTGACCCTCACAAATGTGATTGGACAAGATTTGTAACCCAATCTACTTGCTTGGTAGGTGTACCAGCAGGTGCACAGGGGTAATGGGAAGTTACAAAAATGAGCTATTGTAAGGACAAGGATTGTAACCCGTGGTGTAATGAGACATCTATAGGGAAAAACTACAGTAATAACCCAAAGAACTGTAACGGCACTGAAAATCATGACTGTATTGACTATTGTTGTTTGTTTGTGGTAAACAAAGGGGAAAGTCTGGAAGGGCAGTGGATATGGGTTAACAGCACAATGTGATGCTATAGTGAACTGCAGGAAATCGATCTGTCTCAATATGTTTGGCATATCATTAATAATAATACTAGTTTGCATAGCCATATGTATACCATGCTGAGTGCAATTACTTAAATACTTACTGGGAAGAGTTTTTGAGGGGCTAATGAAAAAGATGGGATATAGACAAAATGATTTGGGGAATTAAAAAAAAGGGGGAGATGTAGGGGAAAGGACAAAAGGTACCAATTGGCAAAAACAAGAACCAACTGAATCCAGCTCAAGCCGGATGTGGCTTGCTGACTAGACACAAGAACAAGTTAAAGCTGACCTTTTCTGTGATTGGATATCTCAAGTTATGCAAGGCTCAGACGAGGCTGGACTGGCTAGCAGAGTGTGTGTAAGACACATGTACCGCATTGTTTGCTTATAAATATGAGCTTGTAACCCCCAAAAATTGCTATTGGTCATTGGAGCTTTTAGCCCCTGTTCCTTGACATCAGACCCACAGATAAGCACAGTATGTGTGGGAAAATAAGTCACAGAGATCTATGGAAAAAAAAAGAAAAAAGAAAAAAAAGAAACAACCTCGTTTACAATGTCCAAATGGCAATTCTTTTGTTCAAATCCATGGGTGATAAGGATTCATTTCTTTCCTTTTGTCTTCTATAGACCTTTTCATGTTTGCCACATATAATTACCAGTCTTGTACCAAACATTGTGCATACAAGCCTTTTACTTTTCACTATGTTCTGCAAAGCATTTTTGGGGTGCAGTTTCTGCACAGTGAAAGAACTGGATCAGATCTAAGCAACAATTCCTTTTCAGCTACACACTCCCAATCAGTTAGTGCCTGTCATATGTAAAACACTTTAATCCTTGCTTAATCCATTAATATGCATAATTACATAACAAATATTGATACATTAGCTGCTTGATCTGTGCTTAGTTTGCCCATTTTATATTTAGCTCAGCCTCTGTTCCCAATACAGAGAAAAAAATCACTGCAGCAATTTTGTGTTATAGTACAGAATGGAAGAGTCAAGCACTGAAATGTTACCAAGTGTTCAGTCTCTGCAATTGCAGCTTTGCTGCTGGCCTGGTATATATGAAGGCAGCAGAAATTACAACGAAAAGGTAACCAGAATAGCACATATTAGTGCAAGTAGTGTTGTACATTCCAATAACTAAATATTCAGTGGAGAAAAAGGCATAAATTCTGCTACTGGTAAACTATGAAGTGTTATTAAAACAGTACTGAGAAGCAAAGAGCCAAAGGTCAAAGCTGATAAAGAACTTCAGTCATATTCACAATGCAACTATAAAAGCATGAATGCCAACACTACTCAAGAAGGTAGTTTAAAGCTAACTTGTGTTTCTGGTATATATCCATCAGTACTTCACTGCCATTGCTTTTCCAACACATCGACTGCTTTTAATGGTTCTCCTGTAGAGATGGACCTAAGCCAGCTATATATTTGCCATCTGAGATGCCAGTAGTGGAACAGAGGTCTCAATTTCTGCATGAACTACAAAACCTGTCTGGTTCTCTTAGGATTCACCTGCAGAACAAGTCAGAACTAACTTTGTGCTATCAAGGCCAATGATCCAGTTTGTAGGCAGTCACTTGGTCAAGGTAGAAGCTGTAGAGTTATAGTCTTGTAGGCCAAGAAGGGAATGGAGGAGCCTGGATGCTTGGGATCTCAGTTCTGAGTGGGTGTGTGATACAAATGTGGAAAAACGGCCTGAAAAGGGGGAAACCTAGAGAAAAACTAGAGTCTAACAGAAGTTTTGGCATTATAGAAGCTTGCCTGGGGTGATACACAGCTGCCACTTCCAGAATCGGTTGTAGGCAGAGACTCTGCTCCTCCACGGTTCCCTAGGCAACACAATCTGCCCTCCTTGCAGCTGCAAAGAGGAGTAACGGAGGATGGAGCAGAGCGAAGAGACCATGGCCAAACTCTGTTGCACTGCTTGTGCTGGGCCACTGATAGGCTTATCAGTAGCTGTCCAATGGGAGATATACAATAACATGTCTGATGCTGAGCCAGCAAGGGTGGCAAATCACTCCTTTAGGATGAACTTTGCTTGAACTTTGCTCATTATAAGCTCATTATAATGTCAAAACACACCTCCATGCCAAAAGGTATCCACCTCCGAGGTGTGACCACTCCTCACTGAGCATGCGCTCTAGATTTTTGATTGACTGTACCTTTAAAAGAAAGTGAGAAACTTTTTCACCAATCAATAACAATACTAAGTGACTGTAGTCACTCAAGCTCCACCTGAATGTAAAGAAAAGTATAAAAGGTGAACACAGGAGGGAATGGAGAGGGGAAGAATACATCATAACTCCTGGGCCTTTCCTCCCCTCGGGCTGGGATGCTGCCTGAGGAGACTCGAGACCGAGAGCCCTCTCCCATCCTCTGGGGTGAGTGATAATTGCACATTTGTACATCAGAGCTAGCTAAAAATCCACGCTGTAGTAGAGAATTTACTGACATCCAAAACCTGCTTTGTAAATGTTGCATTTGAATAAATCGTGCTGTTTGTGAACTCGACTACTTGTTTAGGAAGGTGATCGGATCTACAGTTGACAGACTGTTCATGAATCCGATACTGCCAGAGTCGAGCTTATAGCTGATTGCAGTATTTGGAAACTCGATCAGCTCCGAGGAAAGCAATCAGACCTACGGTCCACAGACTGTTTGTGAATCCAATACTGATTGGATATCTCCTTCCCCCCCACCACCACTACAGTTTTCAAACTGCAACATTTCACAACAAGGCCTGGAGAAATGTAGCTTAATGCAAAACTTCAGATCACAAACCAACAGCAGCTATGGGGCTTAAGCTGTTAAGACTTTTTTGAAATCTGTGTAATAGAAAAGAGGCAAAAAAAGATAATAGAAATAGAAGAGCAGTGAAAGAAAGAAAAGAAAAAAGCCAAAACAGAAATATTTGAATTAGTCTGTCTGGTTATGAGAAGAGATCATGAATCAAGACATACGTTCTGACTTCAAGTGTTCTTGTACAGTGGTTACCACTTGTTTTTGTGAAGTCATGCTTTGACAATGAACATTAAATTACCATATTTTTCTGTTACAGTTGCAGTTCTTTAATTTTCATAAGCTATTCCTTATTGCATTGTAGAAATATTTCAGAAATCAATGCAAAAAAAAGATTTTTCACAGATAATGAGTACATTTGAGTTTTTTTTAGTGATTCTTCGGTATTAGACCCTTTACATCTGTCATTCATCTTTCTCCTGCTTAAAAAGGCTATAGGCCTTGCAGTTATTGAAATGATCGCTCAATTTTAGCACTAAGGGAGCGTTAAATTTGTATGTTTGTTTCTGCTGTTCAAAGACACTATATGTTCTATAAAGACTGTAATAATTCTCAAATGACTTTATAGAAAAATAAATCTAATAAGGGAAGAAATATATTATTGTTTTTAATTAATAAATACCATTTTCCTTTATTGAATCTGGCTCTGATGTGGTTTTTTTTCCATGTTACGCAACCAGGCCATAAGACAAACACCTGCTATGCAATGAGCAGACAAATAGAGATTTTTTTAAAAAAATTCTTTGGTTTGTGATGGTCTAAAATCTAACGGAGATGAAATGCCTGAAATCCAGATCAGAGAGTCATTGACAAAGAGTCATTGAGCGACAACAAATGAAAAATAGCACAGATACCACTGTTCCTGCTTAAAGTTGGAGAAGCAAGACATTGCACTTTACATGATCCAAGCAGAGAGTTGTTTGGAATGATCCAGGAACCTGCATTTTATATGCCCTATGTTCCCAAACACATATCCAGAACCTTTGAGAAAGATGTTATTTTTCCTCTTGTGGTTCTACACACAGTACAGCAAGAATTCAGAAATAGTTTTAAATAATAAGCTAAAAGCATTGGTTTAATTTTACTTCGCTGAAATATTTCACAATAATGGTCTTTTTAAAAAATACATATTTTCCCTAAATATAATTTCAGTCACTGTATTGCAACACATTGGGCTCTAAGACCCAAGTTACAAGAGAGGGACAAAAGGAACAAAGGGCAATTTTGCCAAAAACATAGGTGGAAAAGCCGCATCACCCTTTTCAGACCCTTTTCAGAGGAACAAGGTCTCTGAAATTTTTCAGATCCCTTTATATTTTCCAGTAAGTTCCTAAGTCCTTCATTGGTATAGCTATTTTTTAGAAATACACTTACAATTAAAGCAGAAATTCCTATTTAATCATTTTTCTTCAGGACCTCAGCTCCTGTTACTTAAAATAAAACTGGACCTACAAGTATCAGATTGTCAT